CATCGCAAAGAGAAAACATCGCAGCTCTAAAACATCGTGCTACAAACATCGTCGTCGAAATAAAAGCGGTTTCAAAAACTTCGCATTTAAAACAACGTCTCGAAAATATCGTGGTAAAAAATAAAGTATCTAAAAATCATCGCATGACGATAACTTCGCAGACATGCTTTTTTTCAGTTTTAATTATTGTAATGGATATCCATAATGGTTCGTGAGCGCAGTATGTAAAGAAGGATAATTTTATTTCACATTTTATTACTAATAAATGTTTGCTAAAAAGTAAAGGAAACTCAACCATAAAAATTAATGCAAATTATAGATTACTTTCATGAAAAATACCAGTAAAAACTTTATAAAATGATTAATTAATGGCCTTTGTAAGTTAACTATTTTCGGTTTAAAATTCTATAAGTGCTATAAGTTGCATTAATTTTCTCTGCTTAGTTTCATTCTATTTTCTCAGCAAAAATTATTGTTAATAAAAAGTTGAAAGAAAAATTATCCTTTTTTCCATTTGCGATCACAAATAATGTGGGAAATCCATTACAGTTATTAAAGCCTGAAAGAAGCATGTCTGCGATTTATCGTCATGCGATGATTTGTAGATACTTTATTTTTTACCACGATACGATGTTTTTAAACTGCGAAGTTTTTGAACCGCTTTATTTTCGACGACGATGTTTTGTACCACGATGTTTTAGAACTGCGATGTTTTCTCCCACGATGTTTTGTAGCACGACGTTTTTGCCTTGCGTTGTTTTCTCCGCGACGTTTTCGTCCGCGATGTTTTCGGCTGTAACCCGATGACACACTCCGCACTCACTAATTATCGTCTGCATGGACTCTCCGCACGGACTAACTAACTCGATACTAAATCTTTGCGTACTAGCAGGGTTTATATAGCTTTTGGCTTTTTGTCGCCAAATGGGCGATTTCTCGCCAAATATGGAAACCTTGCCTTCCTTTGCCACTTTCTGGCAACCCTAAATCTGCTTTGCGGAGAAGCTATCTTACCGCGCCTGGAGATTTCGTAACAATACATTTGAAAGGTTTTTAAAAAAAATCGAATTATTTGAACACGCTAAAACTTTATTTTAAAATTTCACTTCAACAAAGACTTGATAAATTAAATTAAATTGTGGGTAGAACTTGTGGATAAAATCTAATGCGAAAGGTTTAAAGTTTATTCTTAATAACCAATGAATGCTTGTTAAACTTCGAAATCCTCTTCCCAAGAAACAGCACCGATTCCGAGATTCAGAACCTTGCTACTATTATATCCGACTTATTTGTCTTTTTTACTAAACGTGAACATTCAAAGAAAATTGATATTACAAATTCTTCCATAAACAAACTTTGCTTCACTATAAATTTCAATTCCGCAAAGGATATTGGACGCATTCCTACCAAATACATCAGCGAATGTAATAAGCGTGGAAGACGTTTTCATGGTGGCAAGTCTCGGAAAAGTTACTCATGGACGTAATTGCATGGTAGACTGCGCTCTCGGGCGAATCGCCGAGTAAAGAAGATGAACACAAGAAGGATTGGACGAGACTTGTATGTTATTTCCTCGTAACAACGAAACAAGATCGTACGGTATGGGATTACACTGAATTGATGAGCTGCTGAGTAATGAGATAGATATCGATGCCCTCTGCTTTTTCCTTTGTTTTCCGTTGCCATTTATTTATGTTGGCTCCGAAAGTAGTTTCTTCCGTCGAGATGTGTTGCTACGCGTTAGCTTCTCTCGCCTTCGAGGCAAATGTATAATAAATATGTGCTTATGTGGCTGTGAAATGTCTACAGTACCCAGAAATACTTTAACAATTCTTTTTCGCGTTTATAATTTTTCTGTGTCGTGTTTTTTGTGTTTCTTTCAATCTCCCGTTAAATTAGGTAAATGTGGACCATTCAACAAGTACTACCATACTATCGTGTGTATAAGCCACACTCTTAGTTTCTGCTTCTAATTTAAGAAACAAAATTGAGGCTGACCCGCGAATAGCCTGTCTTACAATAATTTTTTCGCTTGGAGGTGTGAAACAGCTAAAAATATGCAAATAAAAATATGCAGATTTTAAATTATGTCCAAAGGGGCGTTTATTTAACATTTTGTATGTTACCTTTATTTATTAAATATCATGTTCTTTGCACTTAAAACCATAAAATTCAGTTAAATAGCAATGTCGCAAAATTTAATTGTAGGTTAATTTAATCTTAAGTATATGTCAGGTCAGGTCAGGTCAGGTTAGGTTTAAAACAGTTTTCTGTATGTGTACAGTTATTTAAAGTGTTCAAAATACTAAAATAGTGGTCTTTAAAGCGCAATATAGCACAACGCTTGCTTGAACAACATTGGTTAATGTGTTCGAAAGATATATTAATTTTCTTTCCTTCCTGGGAACGCGTTTATCGGTGATGGAAGGTTATATAGTAAACTCAACTATTGATTATGAGGAAGCGGATATGCTCTGTCTAAAAAATTAATTTTGTTTATTGCGAAAATATTAGTCCCAAAATTTCATTTTGAAACAAAATAAAAAAGTTTACGAAAATAAAAGTAATAATTCTGATAACCGCAGTGATAGATGATATAATAATATTTTTTAAAAATTATCCGCAATATTACATAACATTATAAAATACCGAGAGTCATTCATCTCTGTGGTGGTGTCAGTTTTGTCGATTAGTCGGATATGGGTTGCAAAATGTTCTTAAAGAATAAGGTGAAATTATACATTTACCACCATGGAAGAAATGATTCCAAAGTATCGAATTTAATGTTAAAAATAAATAAGATATAGATTTTCACTGAGCGCTTATTTTGTTATGCCCGTCTAGGAATTTTTTAACCAATAAAAATTATTGGTTTTTTATCTCCTTTACTTCGATCCTTTTTCGGATATGATTATCTTCGCTTTAATGATTGATAAATGACCTAAAATAAGAACTTTCAGAATATCTTTCTTTCGACTAAGATTATGTTGCTCAAAATTGCAAAATATAAAATAAGCATCAGCAACATTATGTTGATCAGGCTATTTGCACATTTTTTAGACGATTTACGTTGCTTCGTTTATTTAAAATGTTTGCGTTTCGTATGTTCCATTTGACAACCCTTATTCTTCACTCTCTTCCTACACTGCAATTTCGAAGACAATAATGCCCCTTCTAGTAACGGAAGACGTTCCTCTTAAACAGCTTTCTAAAGTCGTAGGTCTACGTTTGGGAAAACCTTTTTTTAAAAATCAAAAGCGCTAAAATCTATGCGCGATATATCAGGAGATTTAGTAGGAGTAGGAGTAAAGGGTATGGCTCTGATATCCAATTCTTGCTCCATTTTTCTTAGAAAATTAACTAAAGATTTTTGAAATGTGCCTGCTTGCTTTGTCTTAATTAATTAAGGGAAGTTGGCTAAAGAAAAGGTACTTCATATTTCCAAATTGGATATGAAATCTGCTGATAGTATGTGGAGTTTAATCTGAACATTTTTCTCCACTGTGTTAATTTTAAATTTGTCGTTATATGTAAAAACATCAACAGTCAAAAATCCCTTTGAAAAATTTTCTTCAGATTCTTTGAATCATGTTTTGAGATTTTTTTCCTCGTTCCTTTCAATGATAAAAAATTGATCTATTTTATTACAGTCATTTAAATTCATCTATTGTGACAAAACTAAGTCTTACTGTAATATTATTACCTGGAAGTTTTACTATATTCTGTGATTCACTTCTGAATTCTACAATATTCGTCCGTGCCGAAGGGCCTGGGTTCGAATCCTGGAGAACACATGGATGGGACATCGATACTATACATGTAAATGTATAGTGTCGCTGCCGCCCAACCGATACAGTGGTTAGCGTCGCTGACTTCCGTGCCGAAGGGCCCGGGCTCGAATTCCGGTGATGGCATGGATTTTTGTAAATGTATAGGTCCATGAGGCATGCGGCGAGCCGAAAGCCCTCTTGTGAGGTTGGTGGTAGGGGAAGAGTGGAGACCCGGGTCTCCCACCACTACTAGCTCAGACATGCCAGCATTAGCAACAACACCTGTCCTCTGACTCGACGGATTTTCTTTCAACTTTAAAGATCTTACGTTTGCAACATTCGAAACATTGAGTTTTTCCTTGGATACGCACCTGGAACAATGTTTCCACTTGAAGCTAAATTTTGACTTTTTTTTTCAATGTGTGGTTGGAAACATTAGATATCGAACACAACGTTTTATATTAACCAGATACGAATAATTTTCTTCGGGTGGAACACAAAGTCTTCCATCCAGAGCTTCTTCAAAAGCGACATTTTGCAATAAAACAAAACTAACAAGTAGCAGACGATAATTATACTTTCAAAAATGTAGCTGCTGTAAAAAAAAAAAAAAAAAAAAAAAAAAAAAAAAAAAATCTACGGAAACGTATGAAGCGATTAAAATTTTCTAAGCATTCTATGTAATACCAAATTTTCAAACTGGCAAGGTATAAAATGCATTTCCGAATCTTTTCGAATATCCATATATTTAATACATTCATATATAAACCATATATTCAATATTCATATATAATACGTACACTGCACAAAAAGGGATAGTTCTATATATCCGTTCTACTGGGCCGATTAATGAAATTCAACTTGCGTTTTTCATGTCTCGAAAGCGGCGCTTAGAATATGTATTAGATTTATATATAGCATTGTTCTAATATAGGTATTTTGACACAAAATACCTATATAGTTTTAGATTGTAATCTGTCTCTTTTTACCTAAGCTGAAGTTTTTACATGACCATAGTTGGCGCAGAAAAAAAAAAAAAAAAAAAAAAAAAAAAAAAAAAACAAAAAAAAAAAAAAAAAAAAAAAAAAAAAAAAAAAAAAAAAAAACCAAAAAAAAAAAAAAAAAAAAAAAAAAAAAAAAAAAAAAAAAAAAAAAAAAAAACAAAAAAAAAAAAAAAAAAAAAAAAAAAAAAAAAAAAAAAAAAAAAAAAAAAAAAAAAAAAAAAAAAAGAAAAAAAAAACAAACACCCAACCCCAACCCCCAACCCAACCCAACCCAACCCAACCCAACCCAACCAACCCAACCCAACCCAACCCAACCCAACCCACCCAACCCAACCCAACCCCAACCCACCCAACCCAACCCAACCCAACCCAACCCCCCCCAACCCAACCCAAACCACCAACCCAACTCAACCCAACTCAACCCAACTCAACCCAACCCAACCCAACTCAACCCAAAACCCAAACCCAACCCAACCCAACCCAACCCAACCCAACCCAACCCAACCCAACCAACCCAACCAACCCAACCCAACCCAACCCAACCAACCCAACCCAACCCAACCCAACCCAACCCAACCCACCCAACCCAACCCAACAACCAACCCAACCCAACCCAACCCAACCCAACCCAACCCAACCCAACCCAACCCAACCCAACCCAACCCAACCCAACCCAACCCAACCCAACCCAAACCCAACCCAACCCCCAACCCAACCCAACCCAACCCAACCCAACCCAACCCAACCCAAACCCAACCCAACCCAACCCAACCCAACCCAACCCAACCCCAACCCAACCCAACCAACCCAAACCCAACCCAACCCAACCCACCCAACCCAACCCAACCCAACCCAACCCAACCCAACCCACCCACCCAACCCAACCCAACCCAACCCACCCCACCCAACCCCAACCCAACCCAACCCAACCCAACCCAACCCACCCAAACCCAACCCAACCCACCCAACCCAACCCAACCAACCCAACAACCCAACCCAACCCCAACCCAACCCAACCCAACCCAACCCACCCAACCCAACGCCCACCAGCGGCCGAGAGGTAAAGTCGCTGAACACTGGTAGTTCGGTCCGAGGTTCGAATCCCGCGAACGGGCTGGCTGCATGGGTGTTTTCCCCATGTGTAACGTGTATACGATCCAGTTCCCCGTAAAGTCCTCCACGAAGGCAGCCCTCACTTTAGGCAGATAGCCCTAGTGTGCTTTGCCGTAATTAAATACACCACACCACCTGTATAGTTTAAGTGTGAAGAACATGGTATTTAATAAATAAAGGTAACATACAAAATGTTAAAAATATGCCCCTTTGAACGTAATTTAAAATCTGAAACCTTTTAAATTTTTTTAAAATTTTATTTTAACCTTATTTAGAGAGTTTACTTCGTTTTTAAAAATTTATTCCGTAACGTTTTGGTAACATTATCCGAATTTTTGGTCACAGTTAACGGTGTATTTTCCCTGTTCTTGTGTACAAATGAGCGGGACTTCGGCAATTTGTTAACAGTATCTGAATGATAACATTATCCCGGATCATATTAAGCAACGTCTACGCTATTCTCGAGATAAAATTTTTAAATTTGCAATCGAGAAAACAATTTACGGTATTAGTAGGAAATAATTGTACTTGAGTTGAAAACTTAACAGTGTCTTATGTGCTGAATAAAAGAACAAAGAAAATGTGTACCACGTAACCTTTACGGACAGCCCAGCATGCAGTTAAACACATCTCCGTTTCTACAACAACTGCTAATCTTCTGTCAATTGAAGCGTCTTCATTTCCTTTTCTTTTTTCTCATAATTAATTGCACGATGACAGTGGAAGTTGAGTTACTTTATTTTTTTGTTGATGTTCATTTATGTTTTTATTTTTAAGGTTTTTTTTGGGGGGGGGGTGCAGTGAAGTTTAGTCTCAATTAACTTTCATCAAGAAGACTCGGATTAAATCACTCAGAAGTAGACATGAAAAATAAAGGACTTTTTGAAGAGGGCTTTAGTGATCACTTAATGGGGGAAAAATGATCTCTAAGGTGCTCCCATGCGAAGTGCTTGGGCTATGGTTTTCGATATCTTAAGTCAAAAGCACTAATATTTCACCTGAAGGTACAGTAACCTTGAAAATGCTTATATATTGAGTCTTTTTTTTTTTTTTTCCCGTGGTATATTTTTGTGTCAGCATGGAAGGTTTAAAGCAAAGAAAATTTACGCTATTAATATTATTTAACGTCTGGGATGGAGCTGTTTATAAAAAAATGTTAAGGATATGTTCGGAAGAATAAAAGTGGAAATGATGCAATTTCGGTTATAATGTAGTTATTTAATCCTCTGACTGCTCAATTTGTGGACCGAAATCGCTTCAAAAATTGTGTAATTTTTTTTCATATTTTAAGATCTATATATATTGGAGAATCGAAATCGCGTTTGCTGTTTGAATAATAGCTGTTTGAATCTAATGAAGCACTAACAGCACAAAAGCTGTTTTTTTCATATAAACATATACGCATTTACATTTTTTACTAATAATCGATAATGAGTTTGTAACTTCAAGTTATTAATAATCACACATTTTTCTATGTATAGCATTGGTAATAATTATATGTCGGTACATTTTAATTTGTAAAATATTTTGTATTTGCATTTTAATTTATTAATATTTGCTTGAATTTAGAATTGCTTTAATTTATTTTAACAGTTCTTTAACGCTAAAATAATCCCATATTTGATAAATTCAAACACAGTAAATGCAAAATGTTCCATGTAAAAGTATACCCTTAGCGAATTTATAAACATGCTGATTTCATTTGTGAAATAACATTTAGGAACACTATGTTTTTAAAGCAGGATTATAAGTTCGACAATGCACTGCAGTATGTTACCTGCACGTCTATATTTTATTTAAACTAGTGGAAGCACCCGATGGCAGTTAAGTTAGATTAAGAGTAATGTATCTAACAACAGAGCGAGCGATACCTCTATAATAACGATGCAAAAAATAAGATTCAGAGTGATACATGTTTCAGTCTGATACGAAATGGAACCCACATAAAACATTTCGATACAAAACTAAGTTTATTCTCTTTTATTATATTAGCAACAATGGCGTGAAGTTTTTAGTGATTTTTCGTCATTCCAATCAAATGGTCGTAAAAGCTCAAGTTCCGTCCAATATTACACTTATATTAAATTTTAGTCGAGTAAATGAGGCAAAAAATTGATCATAATTCATCAGAAATCAATAACGCGAACAAACACACAAACAGAAATTCTTCCTTATATATGTATATAGCTATAGATAGATAGCTAGATAGATATTGCAAAATTTTTGATTAGCAAAGTCTAGGATTTGAAAGCGAACAGTAGCAACACTTTTCGAAATAAAGCATTTTTATCTTCAACGCGTGAGACTATTGCCACTCGGGAAAAATGAGTGCGAAAATTAATGTTTTTCGGAGTTTTTAATTAATATCTCGGCTGAATAAAGTCTTATGAAGATGGAAATAGTCGAAGTGGCTTCTCACGAATTTTTGGAATCGGGAATAATGTATTTAATCTTTGGCGATGCTCTTTTTATTTCATTATAAAACTTAAAAAATTTTAACAAACTTTAGGATTTGAAAGCGAGCGGTCGCAACAACTTTCGAAATAAAGCATAATTTCATCTTCAGCTTGTGAGACTGTTGCCACTCGGACAAATGTGGCCGAAAATTATCGTTTTTTTTTTTGAGTTTATAATTAATATCGCTGACTTAAGCTTTTTTTTTTTTTTTTTTTTTTTTTGGGAAAAATGTAGATGTCGACTTTTTCCAGGACCTGGAAAATAATTGTAGAAAGTTTGGTGACCATAGCTATAGTAGTGAGTTATTAGAGGACAAAGATACAGACTTTCTTCTTTATACAGGGTGCGGCAGGAAAACTTTCTTATTTGAAACGCGCGCCATCTAGCGACATTTATTCCTCCATGCATTTATTCCGAGAAGGGTGGGGTGGCACTCATTGAAAAGAGCGGTATCTAATGTTTTATGTCATGTAGGTTTAGTACCGATTTTCAGTACTGCAGTTTCATCGATATAAATTGGCAGTGGTACAAAAACTTAATCCACGCGATTTCCTTTCATGAAAAAATGCATGCAAAGCCATTCTTGACAATATGCTGCATGACGCCCTTGTGTTCTGTAGGGATGAGGTTCATTTTCATCTTTCCAGTTGCAACATGCATTAAGCAAAACGTGAGATAATGGAGTGGCGCGAATCCCCGAGAATTTCATGAGATAATTTCTCCATACAGAACGTGTGAATGTTTGGTGTGCATTGTCCATAATAGGCATCCCTGAACCATGAATTTTTGGAGAACATTTCCCTGGACGCCTTATCTCCTTACGGCGCGATGGTCAGTGCCCAGCGCGCTCGCCTTATTTCTTTTTGTTTGGCTATCTGAAATCTCTAACCTCCAAAGACCGTGGCTCAACTGAAGAACAATATTCAAGCTGCTAATCGACAACATACCCGTTGATATGCTGGTAAATGTGGAAAGAAACTTCAAAAATCGACTTTCTGACTGCATTGACCAAAACGAAGGTCACTTTAATGATATTATTTTTAACTCGTAATAAAAAAACTTTAAGTGTCTCTCTATAACTTGGAAAAAATTAGTGATATCGCTTATACTATTTGTGTTATTCATTTATAAAATAAAGCAGTTTCCCTGCCGCACGCTGTATATATAGATTAGTAAAAGCACTGTTTACTTGAAATTTCATACGGCAACAGTCTTTTCCTGGTAAACTGTATATTTTTATTTGATAATTTATATAACATGTACATTAATGGTACGGTATTAATATGGCGTTAATTGCAGACAAAAGCGCAACTCTTTTCAAAAACAATCTTACTTACATTTTCTCGAAGGAGTGGAATTATCCTGTTGAATATAATAATGTTTCTTATGGTATAGATCTCTATTAAATATCGTTGAAAGCAGGAAACATTTCTCTGTAATGAACCTCATTCAATTGCTGAATCATGCCTAATTACGCAGTCCAATTTGATGAGTTTCTCTGATATCGTGTGTTATGGTCGCTAAGAACACGCTTCCTAGAGGCAAAGCCAGGGGTAACGCGTTAACGTATATTGCACAAATGGCATACCCCTATTATCATTATTGACGTTCGTCCACATTTGCTGAATCTAAAATTACAAAGTATCTATTACCTTCAAAAACTGTAAAGGACAGAAGGATTGTCTGAAGAGATTCTGTATGTCGCCTACTAATAAACAACTTTCCTTAGATTAAGGCAGAGGTTCTCAACCGGTGGTACTCGTATCACTGGTGGTACACAAGAGAAAAATAGGTGGTAAGCAAAGTATTTTTAATAATTAAATTCAAAAATTAAAACCACAACATCCTGATTGAATTTTTTCTCCAACAATCGTAAATTTATGCGATCTGAGCTTTGTTCAAGAGTGGTGGTAGTAGTACTTTGTAGTAGTGATACTAAACGCTTTCAGTTTTTGTTTAGATGGTACGCATTAGTCAAAAGGCTGAGATCCGCTTCACTAGTTATCAGACAAACTGAATTGAAACGAATTTTTTCTCCAACAATCGTAAATTTATGCGATTTGAGCTTTGTTCAAGAGTGGTGGTAGTAGTACTTTGTAGTAGTGATACTAAACGCTTTCAGTTTTTGTTTAGATGGTACGCATTAGTCAAAAGGCTGCGATCCGCTTCACTAGTTATCAGACAAACTGAATTGAAACGAATTCTCGTGTGAGGAAATTACTTACTCGTGTTATAAGATTTGGTCGTCTTCTATGGCATGAAGTTAGATCAGAATTCTAAAGACAACTTGTGACTTTTCGCTGTGTCTTAAAAATACCACCAAGACAGGAAAATGGTGTGAAGGACTCTATTATTTATCCAAAACATTTTAACAGACGACACTAGCCCGTACTTACAGAAGCCAGCATGTTTGACATTAAATCAAAGATAATGTATAAACTACAGTTGGTGAAATTTAAGTCGACCATATAACGGCTTCGCAGTTTAACT